CCACATTTTGGTCCTCCTCTACTTTGTTCGAGGGTTTATTTCAGAGGGTTTTCCAGCCTCTGTTGATACTCTGCCAGGTGAAGTCCTCTGAGTATAGAATACCCCCTGTGTGCTCTGTGAGGGAGATGGCTTGGGCAGTGTGTCAGTCACCTGCTGCTGAGGATCAGCTTGCTAGAGACTTAGCAACTGACTTGCTGGGAACTATACGTTTGTTGCTTGGTGGTAGCAGTTTGTGGTTGTGTGAGAAATCAGCCCTGCTCAGCAGGGTTGGAAATCCTTGAAGGCCTCTTCTGACTGACTGTATGTAGCCTTAGTGCCTGGTGTGCCCTGGGTGGCCTGTGGAGTCTTACAGGTCAGACTTTCTGTTTATGAACTATGATCTTGAACTACCCAGGAACAACAGTTTTTCCTGACATTTCCTTCTACAGTTTGGTGACAGAGACACCTGTTTGTCAGTCTCTGTACACCTGTGTCCCAGTCTCTTGTAAACCTGTCCCAATCTGCACCTGTGTCCCAGTCTGCACCTGTGGCTCAGTTTCTGTACACCCGTGTCCCATTCTGCACCTGTATCCCAGTCTCTGTACACCTGTGTTCCAGTCTGCACCTGTAGGTCAGTCTCTGTGCACCTGTGTCCCACCCAGTCTACACCTGTAGGTCAATCTCTGTACACCTGTGTCTCAGTCTGCACCTGTAGGTCAGTCTTCTGAACACCTGTGTTTCAGTCTGCACCTGTAGGTCAGTCTCTGTACACCTTTGTCCCAGGCTACACCTGTAGTTCAATCTCTGTACACCTGTGTCCTAGTCTGCACCTATAGGTCAATCTCTGTATAATTGTGTCCCAGTCTGCTTAGGATCTTCTTGTTAACAAACACCTCCTGAGCAACTACTGTGTGCCTGGCTTTGTTCTGGCAGCTGGGACTATAGCCATGGGCAAGATGGATCTGCCTCAAAAAGCATTGGGAGACAAGACAAGGAAGAGGATAAACAAGTCCAGTAATGGTGTGTCACTCGCTAAGGAGAAGGGCACAGTGGAAGGGGATGCTTAGGTCACACTCCATCCTGCTGCTGACTTTATGTTCAGTATCTCATTTCATTTCTGCAGAAGTCTTGGAAGGAGGGCACCATTCTAGGTTCTACCTAAATCCTCATGGGGTAACCAGGGCAAATCATGCAGAAGCAATCCTGCGCTTGCTTGAAGCCTGTGTGTGGGCAGTGTACTTGAAGCAGCATTTGTCCTCATTGTGCTTTTCTGACAGCCTGGGCATCAGTTACCCTCCTTGCCGATGAGACAAATTACTTGACAAAGCAGCACAACGGGGGAAGGGTTGATTTTACCTCAGTTTGGAGGTCAACAGTTCTGCCATGATGGAGAAGGCATAGCCGTGAGCAGCTGTGTGGTAGGAGCGTGGGGCAGCCTGCTCACATTCAGGGCCAGAAAGATGGTTCAAGGGGTAAAGGCACCTGCTGTCGAGCCCACTGACCGAGTTCAGTCCCTGGGACCCACATGGTAGACAATAAGAACTTCTTCATGTTGTCCTCTGACTGCTTCATGAAAGTTGTGCCGTGTGTTCACATGCACTCACACACATACAGGCAATAAAACAGACATTGTAACAGAATAGTAAAAAACATTTAAGTAGCATTTGTTAAATATCTGTACTTGTAGTTTTCTGTTTCATTCAGTGGTTTCAAATCTGGGAACTATGTTACTGACTGGGAAAGTGGATGTTTCTTGGCCACTGCATCCAATCATCAAGTTAAAAGACACTGGCAGGGCAGATTTACAACCAGCGGTCCAGGAACAAGATGTTGAAAACAAGCCCTGGACTTTGACCTTGAATAAAGGATTGGTACAGAGTAGAGCTGTGGGTTGCTGTTACCCCCCCTCCCGGGAGGGCATGATTTTTCTCTCTTCCCCTCGTGGGGAGGTGGGCGGGGAGGCTGTGGGCAGAGACCTGGAGTAGACAGGCTTCTGAAGACCCTGGGAGGAGGGCAGAGGATGCACTGTGGGATGTGGGAGATCGTAAGTGAGCGCTGGACTCCAAAGTCAGGTGAGTGCTTGGTTGGTATGTGCCCAGGCTAATTGTGGCTACTCTAGGTAGGTTGTTAGCACACATTTTAATTCTAGACGGTGACACATGGCTGAAAGCTCTGGGACTGAGGAAGAATGTTGGCGACAGGAATTGGGAGCTGTGCAGCTGGGCGTGTGGCCAGAGGTGGGCAGAACGCTCCCAAGCTATTCTGTTGTGTTGCCGCAGCTAGTCTCGCGGAGGGTGGAGTCCTGAAGCCTGAACTCAGGCTCGAAAGTATACAACAGGCGTCCTACCACTGTCTCCTTTTACGAGTTTTCTTTTTTCTTCCTTTTTTTCTTTTTGAGTCTTTGTAGCCATGGAACGTGTATAGACCAGACTGGCCTCAAACTCAAGAGACCCACCTGTTTGCCGCCCAAGTGCTGGGACCAAAAGCTCACTACATACTGCATGTTAATGAAGTACCGGTTCAGCTCATGGGGCACACTGACCGTACTTGAATTGTGCAGTAGGTTCTTATGCTAGCATGTTGCCCTCAGGGATAAAGAAGGCCTGAACCAGGTGGTCCTGGCGACCGAGGAAGGTAGAGCTTCCGGAAAGGTTGTGCCACACCGAGCAATGAATGTCGGGTGGGCTTCACGTCACAGAAAGCCACAAGCACCTGGGACAACTGAGAGCATCCAATTTTGGAATTTCTGAGTTGTTTAAAAAGTATTGCCTTCACATTCCTGCTGATTCTGGCTGGCTGGGTTACGTCTGCTGCCATAGAGTTCCCACACAATGCCCCTTTATACCTCAGCCCTTGGTAAAGAGGCTTAGGACCCAGCAAGCCCGATGAGGAAAGATGCACAGCAGGGCGCTGTCGTCAGGCTGAGGGCTCTTGAGAGCCAGGGGTGGACATCTTAAGGTCTGCAGAGCTGTGTTCAGACGCACTGGGTGTCTTACCTAAGCAGAAACAAAAGTCTTGCTCTTGTGAGCTCTCTGATAGTCTGAGCTGCCAGCTCCTGCCAGCTGGATCTGAAGGAGTGCTATGTGGCTCTCAGAAAATGTCTCTGTCTACAAAGCCTCTGGACATTCCTTGTCTCTGAGGGAAGCCTACGCCTCCAGCCAGACAATGCATGGCCCAGTAGCAAAGACATTAGCAATTGGCCCCGCCAGCATTTTTTCTTCCATAACCTCTTTCCAAGCCACCGTGTCCTCCAGAGAACCCCAGTGCCCCCCCCCCCCCAGGTACCCACTGGGGCACGAGTTGAATATTTGATTTCTTATACTCTGAAGGTGTTTGAAACCAGGCCAGGTGCTTGAAGGCAGCAAATAGAAGATGTCTGGGGCAGCGAGGGTTCTCTGTGACATTGAGCCACAGGGGGATGCCATGGTGAAGCTGGAGAGAACTTTCCATCCCATCCGCAGCCTTCTCTGGATCTCTCAATAGTCTCCATCCTTCTTCACAGCCTCAACTTCCGGGGCTGTGAATCCATCTAAATGTTAAGGTGCACCTTAATTCTGGACAGTCAGTCCTGCTGTCCTGGGGATGGGGCAGGTAGGGCTCTGAGCTGGGGGCATCTCCAGCCCCTCCTACTGTTTGCTCTAATGACCTCTAACAGTTCGTTCTCCCAACATGGATCTTTTGTCAGCAGAATAGCATTGTAAGAATTAGGTGTAGCAATGGACGGTGAGCTCTCTAGACTATAAAGCACCCTTCATGGTCGCTCTGGGATGCTGAGAACTTCTTATACTGGCAGATTAAGGAGTTTGCTTCATAGCCTTCCACATTTTACAGCTTGAGTGTATGTGTTTACTGTGGTCAAGGTCTCAGAAACATGAGAAGCCTACCTTGAACACTTGATCAGCGTGTCCTTGCTGCTCCCACAGTGTCTCTCCATCCCTGCTCAGTAAAGAAGGACGGAATGATGTCTCCTGTCCCACAGCCTTGGTGGTGGTGGCAGTGGGCAGATGATGTGACTCCCTGGGCACATGGAGGCACTCTGTAGCCAAGCCTTCCTAGCCTGGAGGTGTCTCCCCAAGCCATTCCTCGGTCTTTGCTGTGCGTTCTGCATCTGGATGCTCGGAAGGGAGTGGGACACAATGTGTGTCCTGGCTTCTTGATGTCACCGCGTGGGCCCCGAGCAGGTGTGTGCCGCCATCTGGGGAGAAAGAAACCACCACGGAGTTGAGACAGTCGGTGTGGGGTACGTGGATGAGAGTGAGTCCCCGGATGAGCTGAGTAAGAAGTGTGTGATTCACTCACTCCTCCAGGGAGGACTAAGTGACCACTGGAGCTGGGAGAAGCTTCCGGACAAGACCTTCCAGGGGCTCCTGCTCAGCGCTTCTTCCCTCGGGGACACTGATCCAGGTCTCCAGCTCTTCCTGTGTCACACCCTGCCAGGGTCCCGTCCTTAACCTGTAAATTAAGCCTTTCAGCATCTCCAGCCCTCCGGGGTCAGAGATTTGCTTTGACTTTGCAGCTTGGCCTGCTGGGACACCTCATACCTCTCACAGATGCTCACAGAAGTACGTGTGAGTCCCTCCATCTGCAGTGTCCCAAGCTGAGGGTCACCAGGCACCTCAGGTAGCCATAAATGTGAGTCAAACTTTTTTTTTTTTTTGATGTAAAGCTGCCTTTTGAAAATGCCTTGTTAACCACCCGCGACAGCCGCCCACGACTCTACCTGGTGGGATGGCTGTGGATTTGAAAGAAAGCTATGCCCTGCGACCTCCTCCTATATGTGGTTTTGGCCCAGGATGGGGTCCTTTCATTGGGTTTTGGTTCTTGGTTGCCAGCTGTTTGCCCTCCTGGTTCCTAATGCACACCAATTGCTTGTTCCAAGGCCTGCAGTAAAGCCCGTGGGCGTGCCATGACTGCAGAACCCTCAGCTGCTTCCCTTCTTCTGAATGGACCCTTTTGATCAGAAAATGCTGGGACAAGGGCCTTTTTAAGCCAAAATATCAGAAAAAGACGAGGGCCACAAGAGCCACTTGCTCTCTGGGTGGGACCATCATCTGAGGAGAACTGCAGTGTTGTCCGACAAAGCCCCACTGCCTCTTACCGGGCTGGCCCGTGCTTGTGGACAGCGGGGCCTCTTCAGGCGCCGTCTGTGTGAGCAGGATTACTACAGACGTGAACGCTGCTGCCATGGAACTTTATCTTTCCGACTTCTGTGTCTTCCTTCGGCCAACCCAGTACCTCTGCCGTTCACAGGTGTCCAGTCCACATTAGTACGTAAGCCGCAGCCAACTCGTGTTCTCCCTGGGAGCTGTTTCGGATGGCAGTCTGTGTGTGTGAGAGAGCCGGGGCTTGGGGATTGAAGGTCATGTTTTCCTCACTGCACAGTCTTCCCCAGGGTAGCGGGCAGTGTCTGCTGACCGACTTGTGCTGCCGAGACGAAAGCCTGGAACAAGGCGTTGGGGTGGGCTTGAGACTTCCCAGGGCAGTGGGGGAGGAGGAGGGTGCTACCTCTGTCTGTGTCAGACTTTCTGTAAGTCTTAAGACTAAAAATCTCTTGTAAGAAGGATTTGTTTCTGGTTTGTGTGTGTGTGTGTGTGTGTGTGTGTGTATTTATTTATTTTGTCTGCTATCTGGGATGGGTGATTGGTAGACTGTCATGCTTCCTTGCCCTGGGTACCCAGAGAAAGGTGTGTGATGTTACTGACATTGATGTCTGAGAGGGTTCCCTGGAGGGGCCCTGGGGTCTCGGGTCACAGGTCACAGGTCACAGGGTCTTGAGCTTCTTGGTATCAAGAACTCAACATAGAAAACCAGGTGCCAGCTGTCTGCTTTGGGCAGTGCTCTTCAGCCGCCTCTGAACACCAGACTGTGTGCGCCAGCAGTGGCCCAGGACACAGCCTAGAAGCCAGGCCGTGGAGCTTCATGAAGCCTAGAAGCTCCATCTTGTCTGTGGTCTCCCATCCTTTCTGCAGCATCCTGGTCTCAGCCTGAAGGTCATCTTGGCCACTGTGTTCTGCTATTTCCTGTACATTTCCAGGACATGGGATCTTGGGTCTCCCTGCAGCCTTCAGGCTGGCTGTTGACAGTAACTGAGGTGGTGCCAGGGCCCTAATGGACCCCATGGGTGGCAGGGAAGGCCCCTTCTTATCAGGCAGAGGAACAGCTAACTCGAGCAGGTCACAGGGCTTGCTCTTGATCATTGTCCCTTTTTTTCCAAAGGAAATACAAGGGAAACCAAGGGGAATTTTGGCTCTTGGTTTCCAAGGCAAAGGTCACTGTTCATGGCTGGCTGTTTCCAGTTTGCTCTGGTTTCTGGTCAATCTGAGGGTTTTTTTTTTTTTTTTCAAATTAGTGAACAAAAAGAGTTGATGTTGGCCTTGAAAATCAACTCCGGGCTTCTTTGATCAACAGGCGATTGTTTTAAGTTTCCTGGGCACAGCTCTTGGAGATTCTTGGACAGGTGTCATGGGGATCTGAATAGTTCTGAAAGCCCCGTTGTAAAACTGAGTAGGAAAGGTGTGGGGATGGGAATCTGCTGCGGACAGGAGGAGACACAGGGCATGTGCAGGGTGTCTGCTCAGACTGTCCCTCTTCCTGGAGGGAGTAAGGATGCAGAGACATCTGTCTGTCTGTATTCCTGCCTTCCTAGGTGCAGGCAGCAGCTGTGCACAGGAAGGTGCGTCGCGTGTGCGGGTCTGTGACACTGGGTGTCTGTCATATGGCCCTTCGCCGGGTTGTCAGGGTTCAAAGGTCTGTCCTTGAGAGCCGAGCTGAGCCGCGTTCATTCATAGTTGAGCAGTCTCTTTTTACCGTGCGATGTTTTTTCAGTTTCTGTTATGACTTACTTCCTTTTAACTTAGGTTAAAATGTGCATGGTGTTTTGACTGCATGTGTGTATGTGTAAGGGTGTCAGATCCCCCAGAACTGGATTTGCAGGCAGTTGTGAGCTGCTTTATGGGTGCTGGGAATTGGACCCCAGGTCCTCTGGAAGTGCAGTCATCTCTCCAGCCCCTTACCATGAGAACTTAATGGGGAAAAGTTCAGATTTTATTATGAATCCGCTGTCATAGAGGCCAAGTTATCTTAGAAACTGCTGGCCTGCATGCAAGTTTAAATGGTGTTTTCTTAGCATTTCGGATGGCATGCTAGATTTAGCTTGCTTTGAGGTAGTGTCTTGATAGCTGGACTGGCTTGAATTCACATTCCTGACTTTTAAATAACTTATTTAACTATTTTATGTGCATTGGTATAATGGTGTCAGACTCTCTAGAACTGGAGTTACAGACAGCTGTGAGTGGTGTCGGGAATTGAACTCTGGTCCTCTGGAAGAGCAGCCTCTTAACCACTGAGCCGTATCTCCAGACTCTGAAAGAAGAAAATCATTAACCAAATTATAAGTGAAAAGTTGCAAGAATATGTTCTGTTGTTTGGTTTCTTCTTTGCCCTGTTGTGCACCCTAGCCTTACTGCGTGAGGCATGTGTGTGAGGTGTGTGTATGTGTGTGTACATGTGTGTACATGTGTGTGAGGTGTGTGTGAGGCGTGTGTGTGATGTGTGTGTGAAGCATGTGTGTAAGGTGTATGTGTGTGAGGCGTGTGTGTGAGGTGTATGTGTGTGTGAGGCGTGTG